TGGTAGTGGTAGTGGTGGCGGTAGTAGTAGTAGTAGTAGTAGTAGTACTACTACTACTACTACGACTACGAATAATAATAATATTTTTATTATTGTTAGTAGCAGTAGTGGTAGTGGCAGCAGCAGTGGCAGCCGTAGTGGTAGTGGTAGAGGTAGTCGTGGTCGTAGTGGTAGCAGCCGTCAGCAGCCGTCATAGTAGCAGTAGCGGCGCGAGTAGCAGCAGCAGCAGCAGCAGCAGCAGCAGCAGAAGCCAGCAGCAGCAGCAGCCGCAGTGGTAGCCGTAGGTAGTCGTAGCAGCAGTGGCTGTAGCAGCAGCAGCAGCAGCAGCAGCAGCAGCAGCAGCAATTTATGTGAGTGATCTTCCCCCCTATTGACCGTGCATACTGAGGCAGCAGCCAGGCCCCGCAGGTCCAACAGGACTCCCCGCAGAGGAAGTTGGCACTCCTGGACTGTCTGCTGAATTTCTGCCTAGAACTGTTGTCGACACTAGTACTATGGGTAGAAGTAATCGACAACTAGCAGCACCTGTTCTCAAAGTTGTTTGGAATTAGATGTACCAGGGCAAGGAGCAACAAGCCACCTCCTCTGCACTGGTGACGAGGCTGTGCAAAAACCTTTCACAGGTTCCTAGCACGAGACCGCAGAAAGCCTAAATCCTAAACCCTAAGGGTCTAACCGTTCACCCCATCTTGCTTTCAACTAGTAATGATTGTGAACCAACTTCTCAGATTCATGCAGTAGCCCGTCACAGACACCACTGCCTCCGTGCGGCGGAGCAACGTTCTGCTCTTGCCCTGGGCATCAGACGGGAGTCGGAGTCGAGGTTCCTCCTAGGCGCTGCCAAAACAATACTTCACCCGTTGACATGCCTTGACCGTTCAGCCAAGCTTCCGAAGCCAGGCGCTGCAGAGCAGGAGCCTTTCTCAGCGAAGGAGCACCGAGAAGGCGACAAGGCACAATGCGGCGAGGCCTCACGAGCAGGGCAGTGAACCTCGAGCAGAGACGCCTTGGGCAGCCGTTGCAGCACCACCTTGGCTCAAGTGAGACAATCGCACGAAAAAAAACGATACCATGTAATGGGAAGCTTCCTGGCTGAGACGTGGTCAGAATCAACCATTTCCGTCCCCTCTGTAGATCATTTGCACAATATGGGACAAACTTGCAAGCCAGTGGCCTTGGCAACAGCTAGAGCGCGTCCGGGACTGCCTGGATTGAAAACGTTTTCACTTTCCGGTGGCTTCCGTATCAAAGCCACTGATTCAAACTTCCACGACGTTACAGCTAGGAAAGAGGTGCCCGCCTCCATAGCCCAAATATCTGCAAGGGCCCAAGCCACTGCTTTCTGCTGGAATTAGGACTCGAGCCAGCATAGCTCATCATGGCAAGTCATACATGCATTTTTGGGAGAAGTGTGCTTGCTGAACAACCAGCCGACGCAGCACTAGCCAACGACCCTGTCCCGCACTCTTGAGACCTACACCTTGCGCGTTTTGAGCTTCGGCGCACCTGGCAAGCCGTGTCTGCTCATCAGAACTCCGAAGCATCTTTAGTGCATGCTCTCGAAGTTAACGTGGTAGCCCAAAGCTTTCGCTCTCTTCGCGTAGCCACTCTGCTCCAGAGGTACACCAGGATCGTCGACAAATAGAGGCTGAACGCCTGCCTCCATAGCCAGTTGCAGCCGACCCTCATTCCAAGCTCGCGCGTCAAGGATGTTTGCCCGTTGAGCGTCCGCTGGATCGTGAGTTTCCTGTTCATCAAGCTCAAAAGTGGTGAAATAGTCCGTGACTGCACAGATGTGCGCCAGGCGCTGAGCGAAGCTGTCACCTCGGAGCTCGGGCAGCCGGGCCCTCATTGCCTCCACCACCTGGCCGAACTCGGCCGCTTCAGAGCGCTGGACCAGAAAAACCTCTCGAAGCCGAGCTCCGGCTCCCTTGGCTCTGGCTCCGCTCTGGAGATATCGGAGCAGCCGCAGTCGCTGGCTGGGTCTCCCGCGACGTATCGCCAGGCGGACCAACCCTGCTGCGGGCGCCAACGGACGCAACGGCGCTAAAACCGCGGACTCCACATCCACGGCTTCTCTCGCCCTCACAGCACGGTGCGATGCGCTTCCCAATGACTGCGACTCGAGAAACTGAGCTTTCCTTGACTAGGGAATTGAGTTTTTGCGACACAGCCACACCCGCCTCGCAGTGCCGGCATCCGTCTTTGAGATGCTGGGCGCTTGTGGGTGAACCTTCTTCTCCTGAAGCTAGTGTTTCAAGCACGGCTGAGAGTGTAGCGTTAGTCCCAGGCCAGATTGAGTCTTGTCTTTCCCAGCTGAAGCAGGCTGTCAATGCACACATAGGCAGCGATGGCAGCATGAACATGAAATTTCGCTGTTGCTGCCGGCAGCTACCTCTTGTTCTGTTCACTCCCAAGCACAGCAAAGAACCGACATGCGCGGACTTCGAAGATTACGTCTCATCCTGGTTCGTGTCGTCTTTCGGTCCGAGGCTCCCGGGCGGCAGCAGTTGCAGTGGTCGCTGCGGTGGCCGCGGCCGCGGTCGCGGGCGTGGCGGCGGGTAAGGTGACGGGTGTGGCCCGCGGCTTCTCCTGAGGCTTTGCGCCAGCCTTGGGCGCCGGGATCTTTGAAACCAGATCCGGATGCCCGGCCAGGAGCCTCAGATTCCGGAACTTTGTTTTGACATCGGACATGTCTCTCAAGAAGTCGAGATGCTTTGCAATCTCACCCTTTCCAGCATTGTTCTTCATGGAAGTCAGCAGCTTCACGTACCTGGCAGCTTAGAAACGGCAAAAAAAACGGCGGGGTGGGGACTTCTTCCTTTGAGCTCGGTGCGTTGGCATTTCACCAGCTCCTCTCAGCCGCTCCTGGGACGTATTGCGGGGACCTTCTTTGACAAAAAGATTTCCCCCCTCCGCTCCTTTACCAAAGCCAGGAAAGCAGCGATGGTCATCTCCCCTCCAGCCTGCACTTGAAGCCAACGGAATATGCTACACCCGGCTCATCGTAAGGTAGTTCCTTGGACAAGTCGCGGTTCCTTACAGTTCTCTGTGATCTCGTCACATGGCGACTTCAAGAATTCTCACTTGTAGCTGTGGTCCTCTGGCATTCTTTAAGGCAGCGTGAGCGCCAGGATCACGCTTCATGCCTTCGGATTCGCCCCTGCGCGCTTCTTCTTGAAGCGCTCGCGATGAAACCTGACGTGAAGAGGGAAAGATCGACTTTGAGCTTCCCCTCGCCAGTGGAAGACATTCGAGCAGCCAGCGATCTCTGTCAAATGGCGTGGTTTCAACATTCGTTGAGCACAAGATGCCGGGCAGACGAAGTTTTTGTTGAGGCTGGATACGGAGCACAAGATTGGCCATGTGGATGCTTGGTGTGCGCACGTGTGAAGGCTTCAGTACACAAGGGGTTCAGCAAAATAGTCTTTCCAAGTCACCCCGTGGTCTGAAGATATTAGGAGATGCGCCTTTACAAGGTCTGCAACACAGAGAAGAATGGGGGAAGCGCATTCTGCTTGAGACCGACACTGTCCGAACTATCACCAGTGGGACGCAAGTTTATGCTGCTTTTGCAGCTTCCGGTGCGTCAGCCATGCGGAAACAGAGTGGATACCTTCGGTGCGGAAGGTAGCAGAAAGGAGATGCCCGGTCGTCATTCCACCCAAGAAGCTTCAATCTCTCGGAAACCTGTAGCAAAACTACAGTTGGGAGAGTCCTGAACACCAGCGAAGGTGGTTTGTTTTTGCTACAGGTATTGGTAGACAACTTGATCTGTCAATGGAAAAACGCTGAAAATGCTGAGTGTGCAAAAGTGTCCCAGTCCCCAAAAAGCTTGGCAAGTGCATGCCGAGTGGGCTGAAACACCATCCGACGACATTGCCGAGGCCTGGCAAATCAGCGAGATGTCACTATCTGCCAAACATCAGCTATGGTTTTCAAGATGAGTTTGAGCTGGATTACCAAGCCAGTCAATCTGCCTGCGAAAGAGGTCCAAAGGCCTACGACTAAATCCTTTCGAGAGGTGGGATAGCTGGGCTTTGCGGAGAGGAACCGAAAACCCAGCAACATCCGAGTTTTGAAGATCCTTGCTGAATCGACAGGTTTACACCCACTGCTCAGGATTTGTGCACGACATCACGCGAACCAGCTAGACCTGATACAGCAATCTGGCAATCGCCAAGTCCTGTATGGCTGGTGAGGAAACTGGAACGCCAGAAGGTTGCCCAACACCACTCAGGTAAACATATCACGGCCACACAAGTCTTGCATCTTATGTACTAGCAGAGTAGTGGCCTCAAGACCGAAGGCTGTGCGGAGGCCGTGCACGGGAGGCAGTGGGCCTGTGCAAGCTTCGTTCCGCATGTGTCGCGGCGCCATGCGGATCCGTTTACAACAGAAGACTCTCAGGACCACGTTTAAGCAAACGAAGAAAAGGCAGCATTGTAAAAAAGTGAGTTGGGATGATCTGGGACACGTGGATGCATTGCCCCAGTATCGATAGGGGCAAACCTCGAATGAAGTGCCGACGCTGTTGGACCGTGGGCTTCTGTTGACTTTCATTTTCGTGCCTTTTCCCGGAGATCTGCAAGCTGCTGTAACTCCGATGCCGCCCAGTCTTCGCGAGTTCCTGGCAAGGTCGTCCGATCGGAGAGGAAGTTGAAGGTTTATCTAGCCTTAGAGCGATCCGTGCGGTCGCGCTGGGTCTGAGAGACCAAAGGTCGCCCATGACTCGTTACATCTACAGCCGGGCGCAGGCTTTTCGCATTCTTGGCTGGTACAGACACGGCTTGGATGGCTTGGAAGGGCCCAAGCGCTGCAACCCAGATTCCTGTTCGCCAGTCGGCGCCGTCCACCAAGCGACAAGAACCGTCAGGATCGTATCTGAAAGAGGTCCAGGTGTTGAATACAACACCATTGACCCCCCAGCCTAGGCTGAATGCAATGCGAATCCGGGAACATGTCGTGGTGGCAGCCACCATTGAGGTTCTGAGAGCCACTAATGGGAGTTGCCACACCCCAGAACATCTCAGGGCAGGCGAAGTGGAGCAGCCGCGCAGCCGCATTGCTAGCCAAGTAGCTGCGTCCCGAGGCAAATCCTCCGCTCCGAATTCACTGAAACTGCGAAGAGAAGCTCACTCTTCACTTGTGTACTTGCAAGAGGCGGACATGGTTCCAGCTGCTACATCAGGCGAGCATCGCAGACGAGCTCGACCTGTCGACAGCATCGCAGAGAGCTTGTCCTAGGTGTCCAACGAAGACGCACGCTCAAAACGACTTCGCAGCAGACAAGACTCTTTCTTCCGAGCCCAAGACCAGCACAACACCAGGAGGGACCGGTGTCGCGTCGCCGAGGACCGTCAATGCCTGCGTTTGCGCAAGGGCGCACGCTCGACGGATGTCATCACTCTGCCATCTTTCGCATCTTCGCTTCGCCAAAAAAGGGGTAAAAAGCACCGGCGTCACTCAAATCTCACGTTGATGTGCGCTGCGCTGAATCCCGCTTGGCCTTACATGCTCTATGTTCTTAAAGCTTTACCAGATTGCATCTGGTTCTAACACTCCTTCGGCAAAACATCCATGACCCACTCACTAGAGTTGTTGAAGGAGATGCTGATGACCAGCCTCGCTCTCATCATCGCATTCCAACAGCATGACCTCATCTTCGGCATCTTCCTCTTTCACGCTGACCCTGTGCGCCATGGCAGCGTGTCCAATTTGTAGAATCCGCGCGGTAGCCGATACAATGATACAACAGTGACACGGAAGTAGATCTGCAACTGCTGGAAACAGCAAAAAGGATACATTGTTCTCCACTGCTGCATTCCTCGCAAGATACTGTCGACTTCAGGCCGTGTTAGTCGTGTTTGCAGTGCCAGTTGGCCCTTATAGGAAGCCTGCAGGCTTAAGCCAATGGGCGCTGGGAGACAACACGAACGAGAAAGCAGCACCCCCGCCTAGAAGAGAAACAACAGAGGTGTGGTCGATTCGTTTCGCAAATTTCCAACTCACTGTAAAGATTTTCAGAACGAGAAACCCTGACACCCTGCGGTGGCTCCACGAGGAATCATGTAAGCAGACTGTGAGAGGCGTGCCGAATGTGAACTCGGCACATGGGCAAATTCGGTAGCATCATCTCAGTATGAGACGCAAAAGCTCTGCCAAAGTGCCAAGCACCCTAAGAGCTGCTGGACTCTAACCCAAAACTTCGTAAACCGGAAAGCCCCAGACCTGTCACGGCCTGTGGCACGCCTCCAAAATTTCAATGACAGATTCTGAGTAGGAATGATGCCTCAGCTGTGTGGCACTGCTGTACTTCTGAAGCCCTATGATGGACCGTGGATGCTGAGCGTTTGCGCCATTTGCAGTGTTGGGCTTGCTCTTCAACAGTCATTTACCACACGAAGAAGACCGAACGACAGTCTGGAGTTCAACTAAACCCTTGGCAAAGCACTGCTGTTCACAACGCTCGGACAGAGGCCTCGTTTTACTCACACGACACGCAAGTCCGGTCCTGAGCCAAAGTAAG